TGACATTTTTAGAGGTTACATATGTTTCTTACTCGTGATAAATAAGCATGGTCTAATCAACCACATTTTGGGGTTGGATCTGAGCGTCAAAGTTGGAATCTAGATCAAAGCTTCTCTGATAGCTAGACTAATTCAAATCAGATTCAAATCAAGGGAAGGCCGAGAGACAAGTTGAGTCTCGAGCTGCTTTCTTTAAATTCTAGGAGCTGTCATTCCAAACGTTTGGCCAAAGAGAGATGTTGAGCCACCTGTGACGTGCGGATATGGATCAGGACTGCTCCAGATCTCAGCAGTACTTGGATTTGGAGTTAGAACTCCATCTTGCTCTATAAAGACTAAAGGATGAAGAGCCTGAAAACAGCTTTTCCCCGGGGGACCGACCTTCCTGTGAGTCATTCCTTAGCTGTTCTGTATGTGAAACGCCCACTGAAGGCCACTCAAAAGGGAACTTCAGAGTTGCGGCATAAAGCTCCAGTGTGTACAAAATGAACGGGCAAGTTGGCTGAGAGGAAGAACACCGTCAAGTTAAAATGTCAACTGACCGAGTACCTCACTTGTTCGGTCTTTTATTCATATCAGTCAATTTTAAACATTTTGTGGCTGCCAGCAGTACAGCTGAAGGGAAAGCAGGCAAACACACTGGGAAAACTAGTCAGAAGGGGGAAAAAACCAGTTTAATTGACTTTGTCCATTTAGGTGTGATTGAAGATAGGCTTTTAAGCCTATGTGGGAATATGAAGTGTGAACAAAGCTGGACAATCAGGACCACCAATGAAATAAAACATGTGGGACTCTTATTTACAACAAAAAGACACAGCCGTTCCATAACTCTCCTCTTCTCCATGCACTGCTGTTCAGGATATAGTAGGAAGGACTCTGGTGGCCTCTGAGCCTGTGTGCATAAAAAATTAATTCCCTCTGATGAGGCATGTTGTCTATGAAGGAGTTAACACCGGTGTCAGTGAACAGTAACTACAAGGTCACAAATGCCTTGTTCTCAGCAAAAACTGAACCTATGAGAGCCTACTTTGATAGTATAATCTGTTCTCTGTATCACTGGTTTAATAGGCTGGAAATTGTCAGTCCACTCAGAAGTTGTGTGGAAAGAGTTTTGTTGATTTTTTATTAAAAATTGATGTTCTCGGCAACTCCTTTTAATACAGCTTTAGTTAAATTGAGTTGAATTAATCCCTGAAAATAAAATTACGTATTGTTCGTGTTTTCTGGGTTACTCTGAAGAGCTATTTCTCCAAATGTAGGAGTAAAATAAACTCTTAATTCAGTTGAACATACAATGTTGTTGCAATTCCTGCAGCAGAACAAATAATGGAAGTAATAATACTGAAAAGAAATCCCTTGATGTGTCCCGTAATTGTACTACTCTCCCCAGCATTGATCAGTCATTTGGCAAGGTATCTCATTTTACCACCACCACAAGTGGATCCAAAGCCCACAGAGAACTGTGCATCAGGCAAGTGCGTAGCATAGCACCCTAATGGGAAAACCAGTCCACATAGAGGGCATTTCATTCTGTAATGGGCTAACTACTCCCCTAGTTGCTGTTAAACCTTCTTAGCTAAAGTTTGCCTTTAATTCCTGACTCAGGAAAGTATTTCAGAGAACCAACATTTTTCAGTTAATCTATACCAGATGGCCCTGACATCAGGTTTTATATAAAAATAAAGTGTTCTTGACGCGACGCTCCTGAATTAAGGGCTTTATCTCCCATGGCCTCCTTTTCCACCTCAGTGCACAAATGATTCTGGTTAAACACAAGGCTGAGAACTCTTGATCTTTCTGGGAGGTAGTAAGTTATTTTTCGCAGCATCTAACCAAGGGAAAAAGTTATGGAATCAGCCATTTTTACTGAGTTCCATTTCTATGGAGTGTAATCCATGGAAGAAATTGTGCATTTTTAATTGAAATTAAGCCCTTCATTTTTTCGTAAACATTATTAATTTACAGAATAGTTCTTTCTTTTCAGAATGCTAATCTACATCTTCTGAAAGGAAATTATGCATAAGACATACATATCCTACTCTAGTCCACAACCACCTCATAGTTCTCAGTAGCTTAAAGAAAAATAACAAATGTTTCATATAACACTACATCTTACTTTACTTGGAAACACATTTAACTCTTCTTTGCCACAGAGTTTCAGTAAACCAGTAAAAGATGTAATAGGAACCATGTGATAGCAGAATGAGACTGTTCAGTGCAAATAGTAATTTTATCATTTTCATTTTTCTCTTGGGACTGTGAAATCCTATGCAAAAATATGATCAAGTGCGCTGGCATGGAGTAGTCTTCCCTTGGTGATGAACTTGATATTCTAAAATATCTTTCCTATCTTGAATTTTGTGCATTTTCCTGACGCTAAGGAAATTGGTGTTTAGCCAAGAATTCCAAAAGTAAAGGTGGCTGCGCAACCTGACACACCTGGGTAGACCTGATTTTCCATGTCACCCTAAACATCCCAACAGCCCATCCACTAAATTCAGCCTTCTAAGATGTCTTTCCCAAGCCCCTTCCCTAAACAAAGACACCATCAAATCACAAGTTGTTTTATTAACTCTCAGATAAATACCTTAAAATGGTCGTGTGTAGTATGCTTTTAACATACTCTGTTCAAAGTTTCAGGCTTAAGACTCTTCTTACCGACTTTAGCAGGGGCAGCTAGGTCTACGATCTAACACAGGGGTGGGCAGTTATTTTGGGCAGAGGGCCGCTTACTGAGTTTCAGCAAGCCATCGAGGACTGCATAACAGGCAGCCCAGGACAGATTGATATTAGTTTTCTAAATTTTTTAGGGGCCCTGCAGGCCAGATAGAATGGCCTGGCAGACCACATCCGGCCCCTGGGCCGCATTTTGCCCACCCCTGATCTAACATGTTGTAGCACTTTGAAACATGCACTAAGTCCAGTTTTCAGAGACAATGTGTGAGATTTACAAAACATTCAGTACTCACTGTTCACACTGAAGCCAAATGTAAAAAAAAACCCTTATGAATTTAACAAAGGGAGCATTAACATTGAACACCACTAAAAATCTGATTCTGCACAGTCTAGTCATTCGTTACAAGACCTGTAGCCAGGAGGATCCTTGATTCTGCTTCCAAAGGAACCACTGATTTATTTTGGTCAAAGCTGCTCAACTTTTATGTATTAGTTATCCAATGGAAAAAGATTCCTTCCCCCCCCAAAAAAAAATACCCCTAAGACTTCACTGATAACCGTTTCTTTCAGCAAAGCTGATCTTTACATTCTGAAAGTAAAAAGATCAGTTTCAATTCTGTAATGTTAGTTCGATTTCCTCGAGACACCAACTGATGTCTTTGCTGTGCTTGTTCTTTAGGATTTTACTGCCACTGTTCTGCAGAGATGTACCTAAACTCTAGCCATAAAAGCTGAATCCCAGGAGGATTCCTTGTTAATACAATTCTTCAGCCAGCATTGCTTCCTCACTGGAAACACACTGCTGATTTCTCCCCACCCCTCAAAAAGATCTGGCAACACGACTTCTTTAAATGCTGGTTTCCCAGCAGTCCCTCCCATCATGATTAGGAACAGCAGTCTACCATCAACTTTAAACATTCTCAGAAATCCTCACTTGATTAAGCCATCTCTCCCTCTAGCTATGGCGATCTTGTGATTTAATTTCTTTTCCAGTCAGACTGGTCCAAATGTTCTTTTAGGAACATTTTACCACCTGTTTATCATTATTATTCCTTTTAAGCCTGCTGCTTTCACATTAGATTGTCTGCATTTATTTAATTACTTACATCCATCACAACACATGCCTATACATATGGTGTACAAGTCACAGAGACAATACCATCTTACTGTTATCAAAAGAACAACTAGATTTTACATGTTGTAGTCTGCATACTGATTGAAAATGCAGTTAAAAAGTGAAACACAGGTATATTAGGTCTATCTGTGTTTCCTTTAGTCTGAAAACATATCGCTGCTTATATATTGCAACCTTCTTGGTATCAACAATTTCATCTTTGTATTTTTTAGTTGTGAACTCAAAGTCATAATTGGGGTGTTTATTGTTTTTCTCTAATATGTGGCAGCAAGTGTTTCCCATAGTCATTAAGTATCTAACTAATAGCTGTTTTTAGCACCCTGATTCATATCTTAAATGATCATGCTGCCTTCATGTTTTTCTACCCTTCTGGTCAGCAACCTATTTAAACCATGATGCATAGTCTAGTAGTGCTTTTAGATGCTGTTTTAAATAGCTGACTGAACTCTCTGGGTTATTACCTTGCTGACTGTGTGCAAGGTGGACACAAATGATGTAGTGTTTGAATTTACACCCAGCACTAACTGCATCTGCTACAAGTTTAGCAGAGACCAGTTTACAAATGGACAGTCAATATCCATCTGAACAGGGTTGTTCAGAATTGATGTTGGATGTTTGACCACAATGTCACTTAAATGTCACAATAAATCAAGTCTGGGGACAGCATCCTTGGTCATTGTTATCCATTCTTTATGAAGAAATGGAAATGAAACTCCACAGCAAAGTAGGTGAATGTTACACTAGATCAATAATATTTTGTATGCAACATCAGTTATATTAAATTCGCTTCATCTATTGGTTGCACTATATACAATATCACCACTTGGAGGTTTCATTTTGAAAAGGAGCCAAGATGGGCTATTTTATACTCAGACCTTGGCAAGTGTTCAAATTCAGTTTACCAAGGGGAAAAAGTGTATAACAAATCCTACAAAGTGAGGAATTTTTTAAAATTGCTACTTTACACATTACTTGGTAAAACATGCCCTTTTCTAATTCACATTTGTCACAGGATTGTATTTTTTTCTTGTATTCTTACAAATCTTTTCTGGTCATTGGACAGCTGCTATATATATATTTCTTTGTTTTAGGCATGCGCATTGAGTGATCCATGCAACAGTGAAGGGTTCACTATTGGTACACGTTCAGTACATTACTGTAATGTTACAGTAGCTATTGATTTGGCTGTTGGGATGCTTTTAAATCCTTTCACCCTATACTTTTATCCGAAGAAAAGGTTTGAAAAGAAAATGGATAGACTTGACAAAGGGCCCATTGCTACATGATGCTGCATTGTGTGGCCCCACAGCAATCTTTAATGATAGCTAAGCCTGCTTTGGCAACAGTGGGCTTGCTTGGAGGAGGTTCTGCCTTCTTTTCTGCTGGGGCACCTGTAACATTCAAAACAGAGCACTATCAAAAACCTGGAGCTGGACCACACTGTTTCTACTTGCTTCTAGCTGAAGCACACAACAAGTTTTGCTTCTGGACACACTTGAATGGACATTCTCTTTGGACAGTGCTTCTAGTGCTGTTGAAAGGCACCAGCTTATTAATGCCTGAGACTGCTGGGTGGAGCCCTTCCAAGAGTGGAAGAGGCCACAGAATCTAGATGTGACATGAAATGAGACAGAAAATGGAAAAACAATGAGTAGAAGTGGGTCCTGGGTCAAAGTGGTGGAGGTGAAAGGGAAAGCTAATCAGAAAACCTTAGATATCAGCCAGCCCTCTGAGTGGGAGACCAGGAAGTCAGTCACTGCCTGACAGCCCTGGAGACTAAAGTGCAGTGTTCAACTGCCAAGAACTGCAATTGCAATGGCAGTGTATGCTTCCTCAGACTGCTTTGTCTGTCTGTGTCAGTCCACCACTAGACATAGTGTGTGAGGGTCAGGATCCTTAGTTGGTGAAAATCAGTATCATTACATTGGCTGGGTTCCTACATCCACTAGTCCTCAGAGACTGATAGCAAGACTACAGTTTACATAGTAAATTTACCATGCCCAGCGAGTGTCCTCAAACACACTGCACCTCACCATGTGGGCTGCCTTCTGAACTGGGAGAAGTGTAGCTGCGTCTGGGCAGTGCTGCAGGCAGGCTAATTAGCATAGAAATGGACTACTAGGTACTGTCACTATGGTACTAATTATCTGGCGCATGGGGCCATGTGGGCGCAGCTACACCACTTCCAGCTTAGAAGATAGCCCATGCAGGTCAGTGCAACTTGCTTAAGGATGTTAATGTCAGGCTCAGCAAGGGCAAAACATAGTTTTTTTACAGAAAGGGAAAAGTATCTTTATTATTAACAATTTTAAATAGTAAAAAGCATTAAAAGGAAGATGAAGGAAAGAGAACATGCAAGGGAGGTGAGTCATGTCCTCGTGACTAAAAGGTGATAAACAATTAGCAATGCATTTTTAAATATCTCTTTCTCAGTCCTGTAGCAGAACCTGTGCCCATCCCTGCTGTAAGCCCACTCCAGGAAGATCCTGGTCCTTTGAAACTAAGCTGTGCAAAATGGTGATATTCTACTGGATACAGACCCTTTTAAGTTGGTATTTTCCTACTAATAGGGCACGCTCACCGAGCGAGGACTATATGGTCTCATTTCTCATCTGCTTCCTTTAGAGTCAGGTATTAATTCCCCAGCACTTTCCAGTAGCATAAGTGAACAGCCTAACTTAGAAACCATCTACTACTGTTTTAACAATATCTCCTGCTCTTCCTGAGCTTGGGTTTTCTTCTGTTTTCCTCAATGGCAGTGGTTCTAGGGCTGATATCTATCAGGTGTTTAACATAGCTTGTCTGACAACCTGGCTCATTAGGTGCTTCTTAGTTCTCTACCAAATAAAAATGTTGCCAGAATGAATATCAGCCAAAGTTATCATCTCTAACCTTCAATGTGTGTGACCAGCCAGGATGTTGTGAAGGTATAGATATTTGGGTGAGGCTGCTGATGGGAAGGTCTGTGAGACTAAAATGCTCTTACTCAGCTCTTGCCTCCCAGGACACTTAGGTAGCACATCAATAATTGACATTCAGTTTATCACTGTCGTGTTTTCCACAGTGTGCCATTTAAGATGGAGTGCTAAAACAGCTGAATTTAGGGAAATTAATGTTCATTCAAAATTACTGTATATTTTTAGATGTATTTGTAAGTCAAGGTAAGAGGGAGATTACAAATAGGGATATGCTTTCTGGAGGTACCATTGTTGTTCGGTTTATATGGTTAGTTCAGACACTCCAACCATCAGAACCTCCTTCTCCATTCAGGTTCCTCTTTACATAATACCCAGCTAATAAAATAGCATCTTCCTACCGAGGAAAAGAAGATGAAAATGGAATAATGGCCAGTTGACCCTTGAGACCATCTCTCTGCTTAGACCAGAGTTAGATATGTAAGGCTGAGACCTGGCAGTGTATCTTTGAGACTGATGCCTTGAAAAGGCCATATAATAAAGATCCCTTAATAAAGGGACAGGTAAACTCTAGGGAAGGTTTCATCTACCCTTGAACTAACCCAGTGATGTGTTGCAATTTGCAGCTGACTTGAATGACAATTTAGGAGCCAATCCTGTTCTCAACATCCTGTTTATTCCCAAGTACTGTTCAGAAATGTATAGTATAATATACTTATGGGCTACAACCTGGGGAGTTATGCTATCTGGCACTGTTTTGCCATAGCCTGTGGCACAGCCAGCTACCCTGCATTCAAAAATGTTAGCCTGACTTGGAAAAAGGATTTTCAAGTATTCAAGCTAGCTAAGTTGAGCCAACATGATTAAAAGTGTATTCATTTTTTTCATCAAAAAATCCTTGCAATAAACTACTGTTGTGGCACAAATAAGCTGTGGCAATGTCTGTGCACAGACAAACACATTGCTAACTTATAAAACAGGTTAAGACAGTTTTCTAAAGTTGCATATAAAATTTAGATTTGATTTTAATTGGAATTAGGCATCAAAATCCCTTAAATTGTTTTTAATAACTTAGCCGAGATGGCTAGAAACCGAGGCTGGTTTTGGTCAAAGCAATTCAGGGAATATTTTTCAGAAGTACAAATGCAAGTGAAATGCCAAACTCTCATTGACATTCACTGGGTGCTTGACTAGCAAGTCCTGAGAGACCTTAGAAATCTATTCCTTTCTTTCCAGAATTTTTTGAAGAGCTTTTTCCTGTCCTACCTCTTTTTGAACAGTTAGAAACTTACTGACTGGAGGTTGTGTTACTTTGTCTAAAGGCTTTAACTTGATTCGAAGGAATTCAGCCATCTCCTTGTCTTCCTCTTGTTCTCTGTTGGTGCAAAAAGAAAAAGAATTAAAAAAAAATATTCCTACACAACTATCAGATCCAGCCTCTTCTGTAAAGGTAAGAGTTCCATAAAACCTATTACTAACCTTTCTGAACACTTTTTGTCTCAAAGGTCATTAGAAACTTTGAAGCAAAATCATGATCCCATTGGTGCCAACAGTAAAACTATCATTTACTTCAAAGGGAGTGGGATTTTCCCCCAAGCCTTTCCATATCCCTGTGAGACAGACAAGTGTTAGCACCCCCCCTCCCTCCTGCTCCCCACATCCTAAGCTCTTAGTTCACTCCATTAAAGCCTATGGAATTTAAGCAGATATTTTAAATTAAGATATGACTAAATGCTTTAGTGAACCAGGGCCTTTGCCAGATCGTTTTCCAACTCAGAAGTAGGCTCCCTTTCATAGAGCAACAAAGGAAACAGTACGTGTTATAATCCTTTTGTAAAGATCCTCCTTCCCCCAACCCATCCCCAAACTGAAAATTTGACCTTACTGGGTGCGTCTACATGTGCATTAATACTCTGTAATTACAGCGCATTGTTTAGTACCTGTAATAACAGGTACTAACTTAAAGCACTGTAATCTGTGCTACCGCGCATTAGTGCAAACGAATGCTTGTTTTGTGATGCTTAATGGTCATTGGACTAATCTACTGCACATTTGTGCATTAGCACATTTTTTGCTAGCCACACTAATGAACAGTAGAATTAGTCCAATGGGCATTAAGCATCCTGCTGTCTGAACTCTCCCAAGTGAATTTTTGTGTGTGGGGGCAGCAGTATCCTAAGAAACTATCACCACTTTGCTGATTTAGCAAAAAAAATGGGGATTTTGTCTCATTGTCTCATTCTTTCAAAATTGGTAAAGAGCACATTTATAGAAAGTATTTCATTCTAGTGTGAAGAAATACAATTAATTATTATCAAGCAGCATGCTTCAAAGCAGTGATAGCGATTCATGTTTCCAGTAAGATTTCCATAATTCAGACTACCCAGGACACTCAAATAGGTTGTGCTGCTCTGCACATACTACCTCCTGAGCTGGAAGCAGTGTAGTTATATGTGTGTAAGGTCCAAAGTGGGTGGCTTAGGTTAGTGCTCGTTCCCCGCCACACTAACGTGAATGTGGTGACACTTCTTTCCGTTTCACATGCTGCTGTCTGCCACTGCTATATTCACAGCTGCATTTAATGTATTTTCAGCAGTTTGGAATGGAGTTGTTTTATGGCCTTTAGAGTCTCTGGTTGCAGGTGAGGCTTTAGATGCCAAACTAGGAGTCAGTGATTCCAGTTTCTGTTTCAAATCAATCAACCACTGACCCACTGCATGACTTTGGGCAGTTTCCCTCCCATCTTTTGTGTGTCTTGTCTACTTAGACTTTAAGTTCATAGGGCTGGGTGCTGTTTTTTATGATATGTACAAATGGTGGTTGGTGCCTCTAAACATCACTTCAGTGACATTATTATTATTATTATTATTATTATTATTATTATTATGCTTACCTAAAGAATAGTGTATATGTATGTGTTAAAACAGGGACAAATCTAGGATTTTGATAGAGGGGGTGCAGAGAGTATGGTGCATCATCATTGGGGATCCTGGTTTTCTCTGTTTAAAAATTGCAAATTCTATGACAGAAACCCCAAATTCTCAAATGAAACCTCCCCAAATCTGTGTTTTTCCATGATTAAAATGAAACACCTCTACATATATCTATCTATATATCTATAGATATAGATATCTATATCTATATCTATATATATCTATATATAGATATATATATAGATATATATAGGTATCATATTAACACAATGTTTTATTGATATATTTATAATTTTAAAGCAATTTGGAAGCCTACCAGTGCCTCAATTATTTAAAAAAAAAACAACTCCAAATGCCTATATATTTTGGTGGGGGGTGGTTTATCATATAAAATCAGAGCTCCTCCTGCCTCCTTTGCTCACCAAGATGCAGGTCCAGCTGTGGCTGTGTCCCCCCCGCCCTGCTGCTTTGTGGCACTGAGCAGCCCTGATATGCCAGTGTCCTGCCTCTGCCCATGCCATTGTCCCTCACTCCCAACCCACAGCCCCACAGCCCTGCTGGAACCTCTCACTCCTGACCCGCTGCTCCCCACCCCTAGCCCCCCAGTGTGTGAGAAAGGGAGTGGGTGCATGGTGAAGGGGGACACACAGGAAATACATGGAGGGACCTGGCGCAGGAGGCAGCACCATGCTGCCATGGTGAGGTGCAGCAGTGGCAGTGGCGCAAAGTTGTGCCTCTTGCTGCCACCTGGAGCTGGTCTGGCCCAGCTGCAGCCCCGCACCCTGTTGTGGGTGCAGAAATCTCAGGGGGTCATGTGCCCCCCTACCCACCATGTTGCCTTGGCCCCCCTGCCACTTCATTTGTGCTTCCCCACCCCCCTTGACACATCACCTTTCCTCCACATCCACCCAACACATTGGCTGTGCCCCATGGCCCCCAGCCCCATAGACTTACCTGGAGGGAGCTGCAGGAGGTGCTCTCCACCACCCTGCCTGGCTGCCACATGCATGTGTGCACGCACAGATACACATAGCACCTCCTGCCCCCTGCATCCCACTCCCAGCCCCAAGCAGCCCTTTGCAGGCTGGAACTCTGCCAGCCTGCATGGGAAAAACCCACGCTCTCCCACATTTCTCTTCTTTAAAGGAGAAAATCCACATTTTTCTCTATTAAAAGAGAAAACCCACATTTTTCTGCAGCAAACAGAAACCCCAGATCCCTGATCATTATATATAACACAAAACTCATTTTTCTCCAGGTAAAAAGGAACTAGACTCTTTGCTAATATGCTAGGGTCCTAGGACTATATTATTCAGTTGGAGACTGAACAGAAAACAAATATAACTTTATTGGAATGTGTAATAATTTGCTATATCATACGTCGTGTATTGAAAACACAGCACGCTAGTCAAAAACAGTCTAAGATGTTGCTTCTTTGATCCCATGATCATAAGAATTAAATATACCTCTCTTTCAGATCCATGAAACAAAATCAGGCCTTCTTATGCATCTTGACAGTGCATCCAATGTTTCACTGGAAGTTATTTTCACACCTGAGTTAATACTCATCTGAATTAACGGTTTTAGCTACCTGAGTTATTTTCACACTGGAGTTAATGTTTTTAAAAACAGTCTGCAGAACTGTGAAATAGGAGCTACTTTACCAGGATCAGCTAGCAGAGAGCAGAATTGCAGAAGAAAGAATAGCTTGATTAGAGGGACATTAAGACAATTAAAAAAGAGAGAGGGCCATTAACACTCCTGGCAGTTTAGAAGGAATCTGGTAGATTATAATGAGCCATAAGGTCAAGTGATTCTCTTGCTGCTGCCTGAATAGAAATGCTACTGCCACTGGCAGGCAGTTGGTTTTAAACTTAGGTGTACCAGAAATCAAAGAGAGGGGAGGGGAGTGACTGTACCACTATCTCCCTTGCATCTGCCCCTGTGGGAAAATCTTTTTTTTCAAAGTTTACTTCCCCCATCTGGAAAGTTCCTCTGGCAGGAATCTGACTGAAATCCTTTCTCCCTTTTGTAATGGTAGATGGCTCGGTCATTTTCTTGTAATGGAAACAGAAGGAAACTAACCCTCTGTAGTCATGAGATTAAGCAAAATTACAGAATAAGCGGACAGAAATGTAGCCATCTAGTTTGCATGTATCTCCTATGGGACTGGAGAGAAGCTTTTAGCATTACAGAATGTTTTAAGATCTGAGTCCACTTCCATTAATGTCAATGGAAATTTTGTCATTAAGTTCAGTGGGAATAGCGTCAGGCACTTTTTGAGCCCTGCCAAGTCTCTGGAACAAATTCAGGCATTTTTAATTCTTACCTTAATCTCTCCACTTCTGCATCATCTACAAGAAAATCTCTTTTTTGCACCAATTTATGGATCTTCTGAATCAACTCATCCTCTCTTTTTTTCTGTGTTGTTGTTTTTTCTTTTTCTGATCAAAAAACAGAGACAACAGTTATGGGCTTTGTAGGCTCAAGTACTTAATTAATTTCAGATTTCTAACAATAATTGATTGATAGAAGTCAATGATCTTTCTCTAGATGTCCAGTGGTTTAGAGCAGATTATGATCCCAGGACACATTACTTCAGGATAAATACTCCAGATGCTTTCTTCATTTGATAAAAAGTCTTCAGTGCTTTTCTTAGACTGTCTTTTAAAAGCAAATCTCCCTCTATAAAATGCTCAGCAATGAATAGTAAGAAAGGGAAACTTTTTGTTTTAAATCCAAATATTAAAGGATCATCAATAAGTGCTTGTTACCTAATGTGCTTCTATGAATGCATCACATTTATGCAAATATAATTCATTAATCTTGTTCTTTAATCTTTTATTGGCTTTTTTCATAAAACACTATGGCTAATGACAGGTATATTAACTGAATGTCCCCAGAATGACAGTAAATTGAGATTGCAGTAGAAAACTACTGATGTGGTTTCAATGAGAAATTGTTAGCAATTTGCTGATTAGTGATGTTCAGTGGCTAGGACACTGCGGGGGAGGAATAAATAGGCTCTTTTTCTGCCATGGAGCTGCTGCATATTTTGGACAAGTCACTATTGGAGCTGGCTGGATAACAGAAATCTGTTTTCAAAATATTTTATGACATTTCATGTCTTTTTCTCATATCAAATTGAGAAAAAGAAGTGAAGTATTTAAGACTTTTTTTTAAAAAGGGATTTCCAGAAGTGTTAATTTTGGGAGAATTTCAAGGGAATTGTTCCGCTTCCTCCTGAAAGTCTCTTGTCACTTTCCCGGGCCAGAAGTGAAATGCAGGAAACCTTTCCAGGCCAGGTGCTGAAGCCAGTTGCCCAGGCTCTCTACACATACTACAGTCTGACTACTAGAGAGCTGAGCTGTTCCCCTCCTTGATCTCCCCTCCCACCCCGCTGCCTGTCTTGATCACTTTGTCATTTCCACTTCCCCCTGCAGACCCAAAGGGAAATGAACAAAGGCTTTCCAAGGGAGCAGCTGGGACAATTTTGATTCTGAGAAAAGGGTGTTTTCATCAGAAACATATTCCTTTGAAAAACTCCCAGCTGGCTGTGCTTATTGAAGGCATGCCTAGCCCAGTGTGGACAGTGCTAGGGAGTGCTGCTGTGAAAGCATGCCCTGCCCAACTACCGAACACATGCCATATGCTGAAAAAGTGTCACATAGCTGCCACTAGCAGGCTTAGCACTGCCCTTAGGAGCACCAGTGTACAAATGAATTTTGGTGTGTTTTCAGTCTGCAAATCTCTCTGTGTTTAGAGTGTATGTTCCTAAACTCCCTATGAGCTTTAATAATTAACAAGCACCATGCTGTCTCACTGAAAGCAATGGCACAATTGGCATTGACTTCTGTGGGAATGGGATCAGGCCTCAGATGAGATGGAACTGGCAATGTGGGACAAATCTAGCTGTCAAGTATGACATCCCGTTAAAAGTTAGCTCATAGTCGCAACTCTGATAAAGTAAGGTGCTCTAAAGATTACTTTGTGGTACAGATAAAGAAAACTTTTCCCCCCAAATTTCCAAAGTCAGTGTAATTAATATCCTGGTTAATAAGGCAAAAACAGAGCTAATTTATAATGACTAGTTTGCTTGATGATAGATTTAGCTGTCACATGCTAGAATTATTATAAAAATGAGGGATTGGGAATACAGTTCAGGAGTATTAAACAAACTCTAGTTAAGACAAATCTAGTATAACTGAGAAAGTGAAGTGGAGATGAAAAAGCTAGAGGCAAATCCCAGCCCACACATCTCCTTAAAGAGCTCAAAATGTTGATCAGCCGAAAACAAGCTTCACATTAAATCAAGAATTTTGTTTTCCAGCACTGGAACTGAGCTCTGAGAAACATCAAACTGAGGCAAGTATTTTGAAAGTCCCTGGAAGCAGTAACAAGTAACCTACAGTGTGACGCGTTCAATATATCTTATGCTTACTGACTGGATTTATAAAAGTCCCAATTACATCTAAATAATGCAGACATTTGAAAAGAGTTGTTAGTAGCAGCTTAATGTATTGGTAGGGAGGTCCAGCTGCACTTCCCACTGGAAATTTCTGCAATAAATCCACTTCTTAAAAAAATGACATGAAAGCACTGAGTACCCTGGCTTTTGGAGATAATGAAATTCTGTAAATCTGACTGCAGAAAATCATTATTCCTTGGAGAACTTTAAGTTATGGTTTGCCAGGGATAGAATAAGTAAACAATTGTAACGTGCAAGAAAGATGGTTTGTTTTTAACTAAGATATATTTTCAGTGAAGGTGTACATTATTACTGACAACAGTGGGTTCTTCAAGAATTCCTCCTACTGAATACAAGAAGAAGCCATATGCACAGGCATACTCTTTAACCCACATGCCATAAATGTACAGTGGATAGAAAACTGACCATACATCAGTGTTTGCCAACCTTTTTCACCCCACGGCACACTTACAGGGCCTCCCTCACCCCACGGCACACCGGCTGAGCGGGGTGGGCAGGAGAAGAGTGACAAGTGGACAAACACTGCAGAGTGGGGGGGGATCGGTTAGCGAGCAACTGAATGCCATGCACTGAGAGGTCTTGTCTAGGGTTGAAAAGAATAAGCTCCCCCCCTTGGCGAGAAGCTGCCACACCAGGTATAAGCAGAAGTTGCAATTGTATCAGTAGCCAGTGATCCTGGTATAAGTTGTTACAGTGTAAGGCATACACAGATTGCAAAAATTGTATCACTTTCAAATGATATCACATAAGCTGTTTTGAGGTGTCTGTTATTTTTGCATGCTTCTGTAGCAGTGCAAGTTTAGCAAAACCACTGCAACTTCAAGGCTGTTTCATTCCATTTTAAAGTTACAGCAATTCAGCTCACTTGTATTGCTATAGGGACATGCAGAAGTAACCATTACATCAGGCTGATGCCTGTTCTCAAACAAAAAATCTGGTTTTCATTTTAAAGTGGTTAAAAGTTGAAAGTCTATCCATAGCTTACGTCTGTTGAAAACAGTGGGAACAAGCATAAGATGTGCGAAAGGCATGACTGGAGGTGACAAGAACAGATTATGTTTTTTGGTCCACATTTTTTAGACAGAGAAAATCTCAGCCTTAGTGTTTAGTTCTGTGCAAATAACTACAGTCCTATACAGACTTACTAATTTTGTTACCTGTTACTAACATAAAACTATTTGGTACTGGGTTTGCCAACAGATGGCACTGCTACAGCTAAATCCTGAATAGTCAAATACACATATCTGACTCTTAGAAACTATTATTGGGGAGTACATTGTGCAAAATGTGACAAGGTCTATTGAGGAAGTCTGTATATGAGACTGCTTGATTAAGATTTTATGATTTAAGAACTAGTACATACATTGTTTGAGAAGACAAGTAGAAAAGTGGAGGTTGGCAACACTAACTGGTTGTTTACTGTATAATTCAGGAGAGGTTTGGATACAGGATTGTTGGTAAGAGTGGGTTACGTATCTGTGTATTGTTCACAATCCTTTGCAAAGGTTACCTGTAAAATAAAATCTTTGTATTGTTGCTGATGAAACTTACTTGCATTATTCCTCACTGGGTACTATTCAGTGCAGACAAATGTTATCAAAAAAGAAGGAACTGATTGAAGCAAAAGTAGCTGAGATAATGTCAAGAAAAAAAAGATGAATGTGCTTTTTGTTAGATGTGTAAAAATGTGGAAAAGTTCTTATTCTACTGAGAAATGCTGCTGCGTGTGTCTGCTGTGCTTAGAGAGAAAAAATGTAGATATGATCAGCTTCCTGTTCCATGAGTGACCTCCTTTCTCCTTTCTGGCAAGGCTTTTCCTTTTCTTTTAGCTCAATTACCTAGTTGTAGATCTTTTTCATGATGATGGGTAGAAAAATACAAGGATGGCTGACTGGGAAACAAACCCATCTCTCTTTGCTAGGCAAAGGCAAATTACTTTTCAAGGGTGCTAGAGGCCCCACACAGACTTCTAATTGTGCTGACTGGCTTTTAGGATGCCTGTTTCTACATATAGACAGAAGTTTTAAATCAGCGTTGTTCTGAAAATCTGTCCAAGGAACCTGAATTACTGATGTGCATGTCCCAAAGGTCTCAGCCTTCAGGTGCACCACAGCAATAGTTAGTTACACTTGCACATGGCAAGTGTGGCTTTCTGCCACCTTTCCTTCCCTCTTCTGAACCTGGGAGTAATCAAGGGGCTAGCTGAGTATGGTAGGACAGCATCAGTACTGCTCTTTATAGGGTTAACTTGTATCACTTCTCACACACCCAATAGACCCAGGTCCATTCACACCCCTTCATGGCCAGGAAGTTCCAGGCACCAAAAAACTATGAAGAGCCAATCAGAGAGGAGGAATAGGGCAGATCTAAGTCCTCTTTGTGGTGCAAGCAGCACCCATTCAGGATCCAGCTGAGTTGCATAAATCAAGATGAGGCACTGAGATCCAACTCCCATAGCAGCCATAGCAAAAGCATTCACAACACAGCCCCTGTCTGTTTCCAATGAATCTGCAAATTCTGCTAAAAGCTTGTCATCAGCAATCTCAGAACATATATAATGCAAAACTCTAATTCGTAACAGGTTGATCAGCTGTGTCATAACCATGAGCACTGACAGTCATCTCTGTAAATATAGAGGGACTCTATAACCCTAACTTTCTCTGATTCTATGACTCATAGGAGTCAAACAGGACGATCTTTCCAGGATTTGCACTAACTACAGTGATGATGTGCTTTGTCTCCAGAAGACACATAGAGGGCCAAACAGCAATAGGCCATCATCTCTGGGATGAGATTAGCTATTGAAAGGCAGCCCAAGAAATACGGCAGCACTATTTTCATAAAACTGAAGCTCGTTATCAACACAACATCAATGAAGTTATAATCTAGACCTTGCTTTTGTTGACAGCAATAGAAAAATCATGTACGAAAAAAGACATGTTGGAAACCATTCCC